AGGAAGGCCAAGGATTTGTTTATATCACTATAAATTAGACCAGATGATTCTCTTATGCGTCGCGGAAATGTTTGTAACGTAACTTTTCCGGTCGTTATTGTTCTGTTATTCGTAACGTTACTTCTGCCTTTTCAGGAACAGTTTCAGACCTGTAACGTTACAGAACGTACCTCTAGAATGTAACGTAACTACCTGGATCGTTTTGGTGTAGCGTTACATTTGTAACGAACATAATAACTCAGACGCACGGTCTAGATCGTATTTCGTAACGTTACTAAAAATGGAACTGTACAAAATGAAACTTTATTCGGTTACTATTACGTATCGCGTAACTCACGTATGCTCAATGACGTTATTGGTACAGTAACGTAACGAAAAACTCACACTGCAAAAAATTAGAGTCTGATACAGAACGATCTACAGCGTTACTGTACATGCCGCTCTTAGTCACTGCACCTAGGGTACAGAGCGCGTAGTACAGTGTTGCTGTAGCACCGGAAAGCCCAGGATTTACACGGTACAGTGTACGAATACGGCTCCACTGTAGACAGTTTTGTCCGCGCTTTTGCCTTACAGTGGTCCTGTACATTGCTCCCTGTACCAAATTTTAACCATTAAAACTACATCGATGCTGTTATTCGAATAACAGAAGTTCCTGGAAAATAATTAGCAGGACGATCTGTAGTTTTCCTGTCATAATTTTTTGCAGTGCAGAGAAAATAACGTTTATTTTGTTTCGTTACTGGTCCTTGGTGTCGAGAGATCACAGGTCAGCATGGGATGCGGTTCTGGCCTCTTCAGGTTAGGGCTGTGCGATATTTAAATTTCTGTATCGAACTTCGATATTTAAGAAATATCGAAACTTGTCGGTATCGGTTATCGATATCGTATCAAAATATCGAAAATATCGAAATATCTAAATACCGAAATATCGAAGTACCGAAATACCGACAACCAAAAAGTACACTGTTAAAAAAATCGATTGTAATTTTACGAATTTTGTTGGCAACTTTTTACGCAATTCAATGTTTGTAAAATTACAAACTAAAACAATTATAAAAAAAATTGCAAACGTGTTTTGAAATTTCATAATCTGCGATCTAAAAATTAAAAACGTTAATGTGAATTTTCAAAACATCAAGGTTTTTAAAATTATAGTAATTCGCCATGATTATGGAGTAGGTGAACCACAAACGATCTGGGGATCAGCTGATTGGGCTGAAGGAGTGCTAGTTATCCCTGAGGGTACAGTCACGGAAAAATGCGGGAGCGCGTCACAGTCACCCCCCACTGATCGGTTACGAACGGCGCTGTACCTAACTAAGGAGAGGTAGCGGGGACCGGCGCGCGCTGGAATTAGACCAATTATTTGGGGCACTTGCGTGACTTTTTGCTCAAAAACAAATGCTTAGCCAGCTACAGCATTGTGTTACAGATAATACCTCGCAAAAATACATGTCAGTATCTTGTGCAAATTTTAGTTAAATATAAATAATTGCTCTTGGATGAGACGCGCTGACCACAACGCCATCTGGCGGCAGTTCTTTGAAGTACAGTTGCTGTTTCGTCGTATGAAGGTCCAAAGTCACAACGGGCTTATAGGTGATGAGGTTCGTTGTACTGTAGTAAACCTGATGGAGGACTTGTGCTGGTCCTGTTTCATTTGGTTTTACTTCGCAAAATTACAAACTGCAATCGGAAAATTACAATCCAATCTCACATTTTCGATAGAGTGATCACAATTTTACAATCGCAAATTGTAAAATTACAAATGTTTCCCAATTTTCAAAAGACAGATTTGAATTTTCAGAAAACCGTTATGAATTTTAACAACTAATTGCAAAATTGCCAATGTTATGAGATTTCCCAACCACGTTTGCAATTTTACAACTGATTTTGATGTGAAATTTCACAACTTTTTTAACAGTGTAGTAGAAGTACAATTTGAGCACTTCGGAAAAAGCGCGCGATACCATGGCATGCCAGCAATGCCACCAGCTCCATCAAGCGTCGGAGACAAAAGCTCAGCGTCGACGTCCGTCCTAGTTTTTAGCCTGAGAAAAACAAATTCTTCAAAATACCGAAATTCCCAAACATTCGGTTTTTTCAATATTTCGATATTATTATCGAAATATCGTTTCCAAATTGCAGAAATGAAAAATATCGAAGCCTCGACACTAAAAAACTATCGATATCGTTTCGATAGTATCATGACGATTTAACGGTGATACTGTACCGCGTTAATCGTTAAGTACCGGTAACGCGTTACATCCCCGCGAGCAGTAACGTAACGCGTTACCGTTGCCGACGTTTGTAACGATGTAACGTCCGTTACATATTTCTCGTTACAATTTTCAACGTCAACTTAATTTGAAAGTCTTCAAATATTATACTGTTACTGCCTTCTTTCGAAGGTAATGTAGCCATTTAAGATTATACAGTACTGAATCCCTGACTTTGAACACTTGCCAAATAAACGACATCTGAGTATTATATTTACTATTGAAATTTTTGTGCTGTTTTTAAATTGTTTACCTGACATTTTTTGGACGAGTATCTAAAAAAGTATCTAAGATACTTTGTGAAGTATCTTTCTCTTTAGATACTTTTACGATTGAGTATCTTTATCTTATCTTAACATACAAATTCGGCCAGTACCTAGTGTCTTTATCTACATACATTTAGGGAGTATCTTGCACAACACTGTGTGTAGTTTGACGCCAAATGTGTGGTATAAGTACTACTCCTTTTACAATTTTTTTAATATGAAGCGTTCTCTACGATTTAATTGACCATTTCATCATTTTCACTTTATTTTCGTCAAGAAATGATCTCTAGCACCTAAACGTGACATGATAGAGCAAATCGGATGAACTTTTCGTTCAAAGAACTCTTATTTTGCGAGTTACATCTTACAAACCCATATAAAATACTCGATAAGAAATACATTTCGCGATCGCCGTTTAACAGTCTTCACACCGAATTTTAATCATTTCTACTGAACACATGGTCTTACAGCCCCAAAAAGAAGGAAGGGGGTCAGAGCTGCAGCTGTATGTGATTAGAGTTGCAAAATGTATGTTTCAGTGTTGATTTACACTCCAAAATGATATATTTACCTCTGAAGAATAGTTCTACGCACTCCGACTGAAGTGTCGTGCAGTTACAACGACGAGTACCGAAATTTCAGACACCGGTAAGCGACCGGCAACACAAACACGACGATCGAGCAGCAGCCGACCCGGTGCGGAATCAAATGAAAAAGTGTCATGTATTTGGATTTAGCGTGATAAAATCTAGTAGCAAGTGCTTTTCGTTTGTTGAATTTCATCTAAATTTTAGGGAAATCTAGAACTATAGGCAGCCGAGGTGAAGTTAGGGGTGCAGAGTCGCCGGATCGTGCGCTCGCCAACTCGCTCAGAAAGGTCTTTGCAGTATGCATACAAGTAACACTCCACACTCCACCGTTGCACTACTGATCTCCTATCGGGTTTTGTTCCTTCTTTCTCTTTGAGCTCCATTGAAATACCCTATTGTGTGTTATCTTCCATGTTCAATTTTTGCTGTGCCTGGTACGACAGCCTTCAACAATGAGTGCAATATTCTTTCTAGAAATGAAGGCAGTGACAGCGATGCGAACGGGCATTGGCTGCACCTCAGACAGCGCCAGAGGATTTTGCACGACCTCTTCCTCTTGGCAGGTTTAGCGCATGGTGCCAACTTCTTTGCCTTTTTCTTTGCGAGTTACGGCTTCGCACTCTGGAATCTCTCTGAAGGCCTTTCCCTGGCTATTCAAGCTGGCGACATCTCGACACGGGCTGCCTGGACTTTCGGCGCTGGGCTGGCCCACACCGCCACTTTGCTCGTCCTCTGCGGATTAGTCGGAAAACGAGCTGCCGCCGTAAGTGTAACACATACCGAACGTCCGGGTCAAAATACAGAGCGAATTTTCGCATTTACTTTGTGTATGTGCTAGGCGTTTAATTAGGCATATTTCACCAGACAAAAACCGGGTCCAAAGAAGAACAGCAGTTCTTCCTGAACCCTTTCTCCTTGGCCTTGGCCTAAAACCGCCCAAAACATTGCACGAGAAGAACGGACCATTGACACTAAAAAACGCGAACTGTTCCACAACCGACTGAGGTACTACGAAAGATAATTTAGGTAAAAGTTCAAAATATTCAAAAAGGAACTGCAGCGTCTATTTTCGCTCACTGTAAAAAATGTTGGGAATTCTGCCATACTCATGTACAGGAATTTCCTATCTATGAATAGGAATTTTCCCATGTAGGGAGATGTGCATGGGAAAAGTACGAAGTGTTAAGGTAAATCTCCAGAAATTTATAGGAAAGTTACAAAACGTGTCTGGTAGGCATATTTTTCTGAACATGTACAGGAAATATACTAGATTATAATTTGCCTAAACTATGTTCGGAATTTTAACATACGGTAAGGATGTCCATCTTTCTTCCTAACACATCTTGGTCTGCGCAGTCATTTTATGAGCTTATTTCTGACGCCACACCACACATGGTTAGACACATTGGTTGTTTGTTTACTAGCAGCTTCAAAGCTGACAAGGGAAATTCAACTCAGGACAGGCAGTAAAATTCAGAACTAGACATCAAAACATCCCCAATCCCCAAAGCCGTGGGCCTGCTCCGGCACCAACATCTGTCTGACCGTCTGTGTTTAAAGGTTTGTTCAAGTTTATAGTACGCCATCTATTTTATAGTCACTATGAAACAGGATCATAGCTCGTCTCAAACCAAATCTTGCATGGTGACTGTTTGAGCGCTAGTCCCACGGCACGCGTACTGTCTGAGCCCTGCCTCGCAGAACGCGTACTGTTTTGAGCCCCTTCGCAGAGTACCGGTATCAAAAGCGCTCTAGACCAAGTGCCTGTTGATCAAGCGTACAATAATGCCGAGGGATGGATAACTCCTATGAGTGTTCAAATTTCAAGAGTTGAATTTGAATAAGCTTAAATTGGCTTGAATTGAATTTGTTGAATTGTATTTGAATTGGTTTGAATTATTGCGATTTTATGATTTTGTTGAACTACTTGAATTGACTTGAATTGAAAGTAAATTCACTGTTAAAAATATTTCATTACATTTTCATTACATGTTGTGAAGCTATTTTCATTAGATTTTCGTAATGATATTTAATAACTTTTTCATTACGTATTGTGAAACTTCATTAGAATGTAATGAAATTTAACAATACGTAATGAAAAAGTTATTAAACATCATTACGAAAATCTGATGAAAATAGCTTCACAACATGTAATGAAAATGTAATGAAATATTTTTAACAGCGTTGTCTTGAATTGCACTGAATTGTTTGAATTATTTTTGAATTCGTCTGAATTAAATTGAATTAGTCTGAAGTAGTTTGAATAAAGCATTCCGGTAAAGTGGAAATGCGGAAGAATGCGAGGAAAAAGAAAATGGAAATCGCTATGCTTTAGCATGACGACTTCCGCTTTCTTGTTCCCTGCATTCTCCTGCATTTGAGCTTTACCGGAATGCTTTATTGGGCAGAATCAGGGGTGTACTTATGTCAAGGGTGTTATCCACCCCTCGTATAATGCGCACTGGTCTCGTTTGGGAGACCGCCGAGCGCGCTAGTCCCACAGAACCACGGACCTCGCACCGCACTAGTCTCACAGCGAACGTACTGAATGGGTCCTGTTTGGGGACTGAACGAGACCGTTTGGGGACTGTTTGGGTACTGATTTTTTTTGTAAGCCCTAGCAGCCTCCTCCCCTCACCTGTATGGGGGTGGGGTGGGGGTGGAGCACGCCTCGCGAAACCAGTTACGCTGGAGTTGACTACTACAATGAGGCAGGTGGTGGGGGCCCTCTTAGAGTCGTACGACGTGACTCTGAGGGGGCGCGCTGTATGCAGTTAAGTAATGCTTAACAACACTGTACACCATTGCATATTTTCCAGCATCTACTAATACGTGCTGACGCTCAACGGTTCTTGATGCAGTTACCACGCACACGGGACACTCCGTATCATTGGGTAAGAGAGTCATTGAAACGATACTTTATCTTATAAAATAGTGCTTCATCCCCTTCCTCCTTTCCCTTCTCCTTCTGTAGCACAGGGCAGGACTTGCGATCACTTTCTATAGGTAGAGAACTAGTGACGGGAGGCCAACTATTGGCATTCTAAGAGGCGAAACATTAACAGCCTCCAAAAGACGGCTCAAATTTGGCAATCAAAAAGGACTGCCAACGTTTTGGCAAGTTAGGCGATCACGGCGTTAACAGTGCTGTAGTATTGGTCACTACGGCACTTGAGTTACACACTCAAGTACGGTCCATAACGGTCTGGCCCACTTCAAATACGGGGGTTAGACCTTAGGCAAACCGTACTTCCTTACGACAGAGTGTTATTACCATCAAATTGTCCAATTCCAGGCAAATTTGTTCGTTTTTCATTTAAAAAAATCTAAATCGGATATGGGTATGACTAGCTATATGTACGCCAGACCACGTCTCGCGTAACAGGCTTCGCGATATCTCACGAAACACTGTTACGCTGCGACGCGCCTGGCGCCCATATAGCTAGGCCTGCGGCGCTGACACCCGAGACGGCGTAATAGGAGTGTATATACAAGTTTTCGAAATGAAGTCTTTTTGTTAACGATTTAATCGACCATTTGATCATTTTCTCCTCATATTTGTCAAGAAATGCCCCCTAGCACCTAAACGGTACAAGATAGAGCCAAACGGACGAAATTTTCGCCCAAAGGGCTCTACGTTGACGGTTCACCCCTTCGGAACGCATTAAAAAATATTTGATAAAAATACATTTTGCGGCCTGCAGTTTTTGATTTTTTAAAAAGCCAATTTTTGAGCTACAATGCTCTTCTTCGAACTCGATCGGTCTTTTTATGATACAAAACGACCCTGAAATTCCCAGATCGCTCTCTCAATAGGGTATTTCGGGTAAACGGAGCGGCGGAAACGGAACCGGCCAGTTGACCGCTGGTTGCATCTCTGCTGCTGATGCGTGGGGGAGAGGGGGAGGCGGCGGGGCTTGGCAGAGTCTACTGCGCATGCGCAGTTCGCAGGCTGAGACGGATCCAGCAGCCGCTCGGCCGTTCCGTTTCCGCTGCTTCGCTTACCCGAAATACCCTATTCATTCTCGAGTTATCGTGCGGACAGACATACAAACAAACAAACAGACAGACAAACAGAATGAAACTTTTCCGGTCAGTGGAGTAATGGGCTTCGCTAATCGCTCAGCCAAAAAATTCTAGTGGATTGTAGAAAATAGGCTCCAAGATACATATTTTCTATTCGTAGTCAATTTTTTTGTGGGCGGGGGGCTAGTTCACCTGCACGAGCCTCTGAAAACCTGTCCGGACTAAAACCTGAAGTCAGCGTAATACCGGACGGTCCCTGTTTACGGCATTAAATGGCATAGTTTAACATGCAAATTCTGCACTGCAGCTGCGTGCCAGTACACACCGACTTAATCTGTAACTTCAGAACCACATTAATATCGAAATTTTCGCTGTAGAATTGTTGCATTTTAGAAGTTTATAGCAACTACTGCAAATACTGTTAAACACTGTTAGATTGAAATTTCGGTTTTTGGTTCTGTTAATATTGTCACTTTTTGGTTTTCAAATCTCATTACAGAAAACGGTTATGAAATTTAAGAGAAAAATGTTTTGAAATTTCAAATTTGTGTCAAGAAAACTCAAAAGCTATGTACACTTTATTTAAAGTGGACAATGTACTCATTCGGATTGACAGAGATCCGGACATTAGTCAAACATCGACAAGAAGCTGCTCGAAGTACTGTCCGATTATTCGGTTCTGAGTAAATATATATGGTAAGGTGCCCTAATGTGGCCACTGTCCATTGATGGCCACGCCACTTTTCTCGATTTCCAGCCAATCTGGTCACTTTACAATCTTGGCCTTGAAGTTGTGTTCTAGTAATGTCCCTACTTGCATAATAAGCAAAACTACTTCACATCGTTGTCTACATTACAAGAAAAAGGGGTGGCCATCATAGGGCATCTTGTCCTATATAGTCGCGGGCAGTGGCAGTTCCATCGTTTGTCACGGAGGTCCCTGTGACACCGAGGTCTCTTGGAGACTCAAGGGGCGCTAGCGCTGTCCCACGCAACCCCAATCCCTCGAGCAATCCACTGCGATAGAAAGAATCGACTAAAGTTAAGCTGTCCGGATTTTCACAGGTTTACCATATCGTCAATTTTCATTTGTTGTCAAACTATTGACATAGTTCGACTCCTAAATAATTGGGGCTTCACGTCCCAAACGCGTTACAAAATAACTAACGTAGTTTTCTTGCAATAACCCTTGCGTTTGCGACTATCTCAAAGTCTGGGAAAAACGGACAGCTTGATATATGCAATTCAGTGACTCGCAGAGCCTAATCCAAGTCAGATCAAGGGCAATCCATGAAGCCACTGCGCTTTTCTACTTGCCATAATATTAATGTTCTCGATTTCCCGTTATACCAGATAGGTTGCAGGGATGTACTTGCATAACTTAAGGCCTTTACACCACAGTTGAGCCCCTAGTTTTGAACTTGTAGTTTCTA